ATATATATATAGAGAGAGAGAGAGTATATATAGCCTAGGTACTTTTTAGTCTGCTGTCCTTCATCTGCCTGCCTGAGAGATTTGTCCATTTTGATTACACAGGGCCAGTTCGCCTGCCAAAGTCAATTGGTGCAGATCCACTGAGCCACTCAGAGCCATCCTGTCTTACTACAAACTGAGCTGGCAGGCTTCTGCCGAGCTGATGGGGCTTCTCCTGTGGGTTTGTTGGAAGTATAGCAATAGGAAGAGACTTTTTTTCCTTTCTTTGCCAAGATGAGAGGTGCATGCATGAGACAAAAACCAAATCCAGACTTTCTTGTTTCCTAATCTCACAGAAGAACTTTTTGTTAATGGGTAGTGTTGTTATGTAGAGGTTTATCACACTGTTATGGCAGAAAAGTGCTGTTATGACTCCACTGTAGTATGTACACAACAGTGAAAAGGAAGCCGAGATTAGAAATTGGGAAATAAAGAGACTGTAGGCCAGCAAAGGGATTGAGAAACTCGCACAGTTATTATTTTTGAGTGACTCTGCAAAGTAGATAGTGCTCTTAGCCATCAGCTTTTTCAGATGTGAGTCCTTCTCCAAAAAGAATGTTAAAGGGATAAACAGTCAAGAACAGACTAAATATTGATCTGAGTCAGTCTTTAATAAAAAATGCTGTCGTGCCTTTTATTGTTCTTGTTTGTATTCAGGCATTGAACAGTGCAGCATTCAAAAGGAGGGAGTTGTTTAGGCAATCTCTGCTAGTACTTCTGCGATAGAATGGGCTGTTAAGGTTAGGGGTTTCAAAGCTCAGTTAGAGACTTGGGTACACACTCAGTTTTAATTGCAAATTCATTATTAATTGTTCTGCTTAACTTCACAAAAGAGCATTAGCTGAAGAGCATCATACACCTCTTGACATGTGTGACACCTTAATCAGTGATTTGGTCTCAAGCAGAGATATGCAGACTAGAAGTCCCAGGTGGGCACACCTGCTGGTGGTCCGCCATGGGTTGCACGGAGCTTGTTCCTGCGGGTGGTAGCTACTACTTCGGTAATATTCCCTTTAATCTAGCTGTCACAAAGCCTCCCTGACTGCTTATTTCTCACAGTCATGACCAAAGAGGTGACCTGTGAGCCAAACCCCTTCATAGATGAATTCACACCTCTTTGAGAAGTGTTTTTGTGGTGGGGAAGCTTTGTCCAAGCCTTCCTGTTGGCTGCTGGATTGGTTCTCTGCCACAGGACGTCTCATTGTGTTGATGCCAGGTGGGAACGTGGCACTAATGAGCTGTTCTGTATTTCAGGCTTCCTTCCTTTCGGACCAGCCCGAGCCTTACCTCCCATTCCTTTCACATTTCATCGAAACACAGATGTTTGCAACCTTCATAGACAATAAAATAATCTCCCAGTGGGAAGAGAAGGACCCTTTTCTGCGAGTTTTTGACTCCCGAGTTGAGAAAATAAGGCTATATAATGTAAGGGCCCCTGCACTGCGGACATCCAACTATCAGAAATGCAGCACTTTGAAAGAAGCAGGTATGTTCAGATGGGCTAGTAAAATATTCAGAAGAACAATGTCAGCCACAAAGGCATGCAGGTCCTCAGTCATCTGAGTGCTGCAGCTGATGAGGAAGCCCTAGAGCTACCTGAGGGAGGACTCAGCTGTGTCCTTATTTTCCCTAGGCAAAAACTTCAGCATGCTTTTAAATGCCAAAACCAGAGGCAGCGTTCACTCTCCCTTTGAACTCTCTTAGCCTCATGCCTTTAAGAAGCACAAACCAAACCATGGAGCCAGGTTCGCTGTTTCTCATTTCGGGCAGCTCCTGCTCCATTGCCAGCAGAGCTTTCCTTCGCTGTGGTGGTGGGGCCAGCGCCAGCCACACCGAGGGGCCAAGCCCCGGTGTCGGTTCCACTGACCTGGTCTCCCCATTCCCTTAAAAAGACCTTTTTTGCCTTACACCATTTGGTTAGAGCAGCGGGGGACACTGGGAACCTAATCTTGTGTGGTATATTTAGCAGCTCCAGCAATAGATGCTCAGTGTTAATATACCCTGTGTACTGAAGATTGGGATTTTTTTCCATTACAGAAGGCATTTTCAAAGTATACTTGAGTTTCTTACTGTGCAAGTATTTATTTCATTTCCAAGTAATACAGGGAAATTATGGTCTTAAATTTGTTGGGACGTGTGTTAAGGAGCTGGGGCAAACACTTTTATCTTTATTTAATTTCTTCAGAGGATTTTACTCATTACAAATGTGACAGAAATAGAAATCCTGTGTCTGCTTAACTTTTTCTGTTTAAAACCAATTCTAATTTGCAGGTCGACTGTCTATTCAACGTCTAGTTTTGGTAGATATTGTGGCGCCAGAACCTCATTTTCTGTCTTGTGAAAAGGAGCAAACTGATAGTAATTCCAACTTTCCTTCATATTTACCATTCACAATATATGTGACCCTAGCACCAATCCAGCACCTGTTTGTTTAACGTACTATTTTGGGAACTCTTCAAAGCCCCTGACCCCACACTACCCAGTCCTTTTCTCCAAAATAAAACCATTCGAAGTGGTTTGGGTTTTTTGAGAGAGGAAAAAAAAGCTGCTGAGTTTCTAATGATAATGTATGTAACTCTTATGACAGTTTCTTTCCCATCACAGTTTTATAAAATAAGAAGCAAGTTCTGTGTTGCTCTTGACAAATGGAAAATGGATTTAGCTTCAACATTTTGCATATTTATTCAGCAGCTGTGATGTGCCGAAAAGAACAGGCCTGCCTGTTAATGGATGGGCTATAGAGTTGAATATTAAAGTTGCTAATTCAGTTGCTGTTTTCCCCCATACGCCTCCTTTTCCCTCTCCTTCACAGTGCATCTGACTCAGTGTTGAGAGGGTGACAGATTTTTTTTTTATCTTGCTCAAGATTTGAGATTAATTCCTCAAGTCCTTGAAGCAAACAACTGAACCCTGTTAGTCTCAGCAGAGCCGAGATTCCTGGAGAGCCCTCTCTGCTCTTGCTGTAGCCTTCCCCTGTCTCCCAGCATCTGTTCATCTCCTTGATGCTGCTCAGGCCTTGCTACAGTTTTTTGAAAGCCTGTCATCCAGTACTGGGGTATCTGATTTCAGGTGGAAAATTTTTATAGGTGCCAGGTGTTTGCAAAACTTGAGTATCACCCCTCCATGCGTCTGCCCAAGGAGATGTGTCTGGGGCAAGTTCGGAGTGCCCGACCCTGCAGAGAGTTGCAGGAGCCTCAGAGGTCTCCATCCCGCCTAAGGAGCATTAAAGCCAAACGCTGAATTTCAAGGAAAGATTGCACTGCTCTTGCCGATTCATACCCCATCTCATGGGCTCCCATCAAGACCTGCTTGCTTAACAGCTAACTTGCTTGTGCCAGTGCTGGTTGTGTTGGGTGAAGAAACTAAAACCAAAATAACAAAATAGCAGAGCAGATGTTTCATCACTTCCTTAAGCGACCGGTTTCTGGATCTAAAGTCACTATTTAACTTCTTAGAGCGCTTTCAGGGACCGGAGCATGACCACCTCTGTTGTTGTAGCACGTGTCTTCAGGTGGTTCGCGAGCACGGTTGTTCACCTGTGACTGTACCTTGCAGCCCAGTCCATCGAGCAGCGGCTGATGAAGATCGATCATACGGCCATCCACCCACACTTACTTGACATGAAGATCGGCCAAGGGAAATATGAACAAGGATTTTTCCCGAAGTTGCAGTCGGATGTCTTGGCAACGGGACCTACCAATAACAAGTAAGCACAGGTTTTATTTTCTGGATTTGAAATCAGGTTTCTTGTATAAAAGATTCACATCATTGGGCAGCAGTCCTAATTTTGGGTGGTTGATCAACACTAGCAACTCCTTTCATTTCTGGTTTGTTTGGGCTGTGATTTTGAAGTTATAGCCATAGTTTGGGTTACATCAGAAAGTTTTAGCTCTGGTTTGGGGAAGATTCTCAGTACTGTTGTTTTCTGCTGAGTGGTAAGTACTGTGTCTTCTTATAGATATTCTTAGTTTTATCATTGCCGTAATAAATTTAAAATCTCTTTCCTCACTGTTTTGCACTGAATATGATAATTTGGAAACCTAAGCCAAAATTCAGATTCTGAAAAAAGTTTTGATATTGAAGCTTGTCCATCATCATGCAGAATGAAATTAATTTCCACTCTCTTTCTCTCTTTTCTTTAATTGTTATTATATGCCTCAAAGGTTTTTTATCACTCTTTCAGTTTCCACGTTGGAATAACATGGAAGAGTAATTTGGTGAGGGTGGAAAGTATGTTCTGTACCTGGATTACTCTTCTCAGTCTGATAGGGTTCTGTAGTGCACTTTGGTATGAAGGTAGGCGTAACTATAGCTGTGGAATTGAGCATGTCATTACATAGTTAATTTGCCTAATGTTAAATGAGAACCTGGAGCAACTAATGCACTTTAAATTTATACAGTTATAATATGAAGTAAACATTGTAAATTACTATTTTTTCTCTTCCATCAAAACCCAGGAAAGAGGAGGTTTTTCTCCCCCTTCAAAAATGGAAGATTTATACATCAATGATTACTACTTTGTGAAATTATTAGCTCAGGCCCTTACTTCCAGTTTCTGTGGTAGGTCAAAATAGTCTCAGAGTTTAATGTGAGGACTCCAAAAGCTATGATTGTCCAAATGTTAAAGTTAGCTCTTGTTTTAGACAAGTGCATGCACACGCACTGCTCTGAGCTTGTGTATGAGGTGCCCACTCAATTCTATATATACGCCTTTTGTGCACCCCAGTGCTAGCTAATCTCTTTTTAATAACCTACTAGAAATAAGACTTGCAAATAATAAAGTAAGATAACCTTAAGCACTGAATATTTAAAGAACTGCAATTCTTTAAAATAAATTTTAAAAAAACCCAACAAACCAAAAGGAGGATTGCATGTTTCAAAGTTCCTTTGTTTGCTGTCTTTTTGCAAACAGAGACAAAGGTTTACAGGTAATGCTCCCTTGAGGAATGCGGGGATTCTTCATCTTGCAGGATGCTGTCTATAGCATTCTGTCTCTTATCCTTATGGTGGTTTTCAGTTTTAAAGTGTCAGCAGCAGTGTGAGCATGCCCAGCCTGCTTAAAGTTGCCTATATCTTCTGGCTCTGTTGCAGAATCTTAGTGAATCTATGAATAAGCATCAAATTAAAAATAATTTTCCTTACACCTTTTGCAGTGCTTCTGTTACATTGGTACTTATTCTAAAATACAGCTTTAACTCCTTGAGTTGTAATTTTGATTTAGATAGCTGGTTTTGGTTTTCAAATCTCAGCGTGTTTCAGAATTTGTAAGTACCAAAATCCCCATTACTTACCGCAAAGTGGTGTCAAAGTGACAAATGTTTGGAATTCCTCCAGTTGTATATTGCCAAAAAGGGTTGTAATTGGAAAATCTCAAGACCATCTGTTTATATCTTTCTGCTTCCTGACTTTTTTATGTGAGCAGCTGAGCGGACTCTTTCTCTCTCATTTAAGACATGAAATTCTGCTGAATTTACACCCACGTATAAAGCAGATAGTCTTTTCATGCTCTCTGCAAATACAGCATATTTTTTTGACCACAAAACCAATTGAAGTATAGCCTTCCATTAATTTGAATTTCTCAGTGTATGTTTCCTGGGAGTATGTTATACTTGTATATGTGACTGGGCCTTTGTGTATGGGGATGAGGGAAGAGAACATTTCAGGTCTGTTCCCAGGCACTTCAGATATAGCTATTGTGTGTTCATAAAGTCAATGCAAAGGATATTGCTATGTAGATCAGAATTATTTTTGCAAACTTCAGCTCTACATAGCAAATTTGGTTCTGAATGTTGCAAGGAAGTGTACTTGCAGGGAAAATAAATATTTTCTGTGCTCCAGTTGATTGTTGTTGGACAGTAGCAAATAAACCAATTCAAAGCTGTTTTAATAAAAACTTGTCCTTGCTGGCCAGCAATCAAATTTGTATTGCTTCCTTTTCTGGACAGATAAAGTACAAAACATATAACTAGAGCTCATAATGTTATCTAGCTATTCCCTTCCTGTAGTCAGGCAGAGCAATGAAGGGACCTCTGTCAGTTACTGGGCTGTTAAATGGATCATACAGTATACCTAAATCAGGAATACAGTGCAAAGACCGAGCATTTAGTTTGCTTAGTTCTAGATCCTGTACGTGATCCCAGAAACCCACATTGCCTAGACAAGCAGAAATTGTGTTTGGGAGAGGAGATGTCTGGCTCCTGCTCGCTGGGCATGGAGAGCGGGGCTTGGGGACGGGGGGTGAGTTGGCAGTCACGTTGGATCACTTCCACCTAAACACAGCTGGAAACAAGCGCTGATCACGTAACCATGCCTAAGTGTTAAAACACTGAGGTCTGTCACAAAAGCTAAGTCTAATAACATTTCATCACGCTTTGCCCCATTTCTTTCACTCAGCTGCCCCCTCCTGCATCCCCCCTCCTGCATCCCCCCCAGGGTGTCCTCTAAAAGACTGGACAAGGCGGTGAACCAGTGCTCCTCTGGCTCCAGCCAATGTCACATTTCTTGCTGCTTTCTCTCATCTGCTTGGTTGTTTGTGGGCTGGGAGAGCCTGCTTGTAGGCTTGCTTCTCTTCTGGCCAGACTGCAGGTGCATGCTTGGTATCATTAGGGCTTGTATTTACCTCTTCCCTTGTGGTGGTGAATAAACATTGACTTCTTCAGCAGAGCAAGAACTTCACTGAAAATAACTCCAAACTCCACTTCACTAAAAATAAATTAAAAGTTTAAAAACAATCAAATGAAAAAAACCCCAAACAACCAAAAGCGCAAACAAAAAAACCCCTCGCCCCAAATCCCCACCTCTGTAAAAGTGGAGAATAGGCTCCCAGGTATACGGTTTCCCTGATCATCTTTTTGACCAAAATTGCCAGAACATGGAAAGACATTAAATGCAAGATATGCAGATCTAAACTTAAGCAAAATGTGGTAATTCTTGTATCCAAATATTTCTAGAAATGGAAAGAAACATTATTTTTCTGTAATGAAAAGAGCAGTTCATTCTAGCTAACAGCAATTTTTTAAAAAAAGGCAATCCAAAAAAACACAGTTCTGTCCTCCTTCCCATCAGGCAACAATGTCCCACTTCAGGGACTCCCTCTGCCCTCACTGCCTTCAATACATCCCTGATGTCATGGGAAAACCTAAATCTACAGACAGCAGCTGCAGCTTCCTCTGGGTTCAGAAGCGGCCCATCCATGCTGCTCTAACCTTGTAAAGCAGTGGCTTCTGCAGAAGTCCTTCTAGAAAGCATCCCAGGAGAAAACAGGCTGCAATCCCTTAGGCAATTTGTTTATTTATCTGGAAATGAGCGGTGGTTTCTCAAGTCCTCCTTTCCTTTTTCAAACCCCAGCACCACGTTGTGGTTTCTACACGTTCTCCTCTTCCTTCTGTGACTGCATTTTCTGCCAGGCTTTTGAAATTGTAGCTGGGACTCCGGTGGCTGATGCATTCGCAATGATCCAGGGGAGGAATTTGAATGACAAAAAGCCAAGCTACATAAACACTTCACGGTTTTTGATTAGCTAATTGTTAAATTAGAGTGAATATGCTTACAGTGCAAAATTAAAACAATGAAACAAGCTGTGTTTTCAATCTAATTGATTACCTTGTAACTTAATTTGTACTAAGAAGCTTGATAAATGAGATTAAATATTGCAGAGGAAAACACTGATTGCACACTAAGAGTGGGAATATATTTGCATTCTGGCAATCTGTAGTGAATGTTGACAGAGAACAACTGAACTGATAATTTATTTTTCTTAATTTCTTTTGGTTTTCAAAGGAAGATTTTGCTTTGTTACACGCTTACATCAATGAATTGCCCTTTTCTACCTTCTTCTTTGTTTAGCTCAGTTTTCCCCACCTTCTTTATCTGCTCCTTGCTTTCCTCCTTGCTTCCTCCCCTGCCCAGCCTATTTCCTCCTTCCTGCTCCGACCCCTTCTCTCTCTCCCGAGCCCTCTCACTTCCATCCCGACCTCCTGTGAGCTTCGTGCTTTTGTGTGTCCTCTGTGTCCTGCCTGACCTCAGAGGAGGACACAGTCCAAGCCTCCAAGCACAGATCCTGCTGTACTCGGCCTTCCAGCCTCAGACTTTAGCTTAGTGATACGTAAGTGATGTTCTTACCCATAAAGCAGATTTTGTAAGTATTTGTTTGCTTTCTCCAGGCATTTGTTCCTTCGCTGTGTTTTGCTGACCTCACCACAGTGTCAGTATTGATTTGTAAAAATCATGCATTAGAAGTGCACAATATTGGTTCATTTTTGTGCTCCAGTTTATGGCCCGACATGTGTAGGCAATGTCTTGCGACCTCCATCGCTGACCTCCCCTCAAGTTATGAACTGCTCAAAGTTTATCTGCCTGGTGCTCTGGTTCTCCTAATTTTTACATTGGACTACTGTTTTTTTATTCACTAACATTAGCATTGGTTAATGTTTCTAAAGAAAATATGATATATACAATGTAAAGTGGTTGCTGAATATCTATATGATGATAGAATTAATTCTAGTTTTAACTAAATTATTATTTGTATGGGGAAAAGGTCTGTTTCTTGTACTGAGTGCTTGGTATTATATGAGCTTTTTCTGCCTCCCTATCTGTTGGGTAGTTTTAGGGCTGGCTGCCTTCAAGGAAGCTTTTTTTTTTTTAATCAAGACAAACAATTGCATTTTCCAATAGTATAGAGTAGCATCTCTGCGGTGCATCTAATGA